TATTGCCACAAGTTCATGGATCTTATTCCCTAAACTGCGAGTATTTGTAGACATGACTCTAAGCTTATCATTTTTTAACACACTTGCTACAGGCACCTTCTGTCCTTGTTTTGGGGGACAATTGGATTGATATTTTATCACCCTTTTGCCCCCCTCCTAGTTTAAATACATCCTAGCAAAACCTCTGAACTGCTCAATGAGAACATTTGTTCCCTTTTGAGAAAGATGCAAACCATCTTTTTTGTACAGCTTATCTCCATTCCAAACAGAGCTACCATGAGAAATAAAGCCAAATCCTTTCTCCCGACACCATTCACCAAGCCACAAATTAAAAGTCCTTAATACGCATCCTCAGCTTCGTCGCTCTGAGTGTTATGCACAGGCAGAACTTCAGAGAATGACAGTGTGGAAGCAACCTGCCGTATATCATTGGCAAAAACACTAAAAACTTCCTTAACCTCTGAAACCTCATTGCAAGCCAAGTCATTTGTCCCTAGATGGACAAGTACATCCAATTCCCCTTCCTGCTTTGTTTGCTTAACAATATTACAGATACGTCTCCTGTCTCTGTGAGCAGTAGCTCCGGGAAGACACCTCACAAGACCACCATTGTCCATCTCCACACCTCTTATGATGGAATCCCCCAAGAACAACTGCTTTCTATTAGGCCTCACCATAGTCTCCAAGCCTGTCTCCACAACACCACTAGCCTCAGTGCCTCTCCACAACACCACTAGCTTCAGTGCCTCTCTCCACAACACCACTAGTCTTAGTGCTCTTCCCTCCACAACACCACTAGCCTTGCAGTGCCTCTCTCCACAAATACCACTAGCCTCATAGTGCCTCTCTCTACAAATACCACTAGCCTCAGTGCCTCTCTACAACAATTACCTAGTCTTATTGCCTCTTCCACAACACCACTAGCCTCAGTGCCTCTCTCCACAACACCACTAGCCTCAGTGCCTCTCTCCACAACACCACTAGCCTTCGGTGCCTCTCTCCACAACACCACTAGCCTCAGTGCCTCTCTCCACAACACCATTACACTCTGAAAGTGCAGAAAATGAATTATGAAGAGCAACAGACTGTGCAAAATGCCTTTTATCCACAACTCTAAGTCTACCAGATCCTACAGTAATCCATCTGCCTTTCCTAGCATGTCTCTGCGGCAGTGGCTTTGCAGCAGTTCCAGTCTGAGTTTCTTCACCAGATAATTTACAAATCTCAGACTTCAAAAATACAATCTCCTGCCGCAAGATAGAGAACTGTCTACAGATTAGACAACAACCAAACCTCCAAAAAGTGGAACGTGAAACAAATGCATAGCAATTGTTACACTGAACTAAGCCTGCCATTCCAATTATGAGAATAATTTAAATCTTAACAAATCTTAACTTTTTTCTTTATCCTCCTGAATACCTCAGATTGCCTCCAGGTTATCTCCAGAATATCTCCAACTAGACACTTAGAGACAGCACTCTCCAGAATATCTCCAACTAGACACTTAGAGACAGCACTCTCCAGAATATCTCCAACTAGACACTTAGAAACAGCACTTAGAAGTAGCACCAAGCTATATTAGACAAGCTAATGAGACCAAGCCTTATATAACTCCTTAAATCACCGCCCACTAGGAATGTTTAACACCTGGGTAGGCCTCTGCTTATTTGCAAACAATAGCTAATTAACCAGCAATCAACAGCAAGTAACTAGCTTAATCAAATCAAATGCCTTATAATTACCAACAGGAATTCAAACCTTGGGCAATCAGTAACCTTTTCCTACAGATGAATCTTACCTGTAACAGTAGAAAAGAAAGCTCTTAGCACAACTCTTAGACAGTTGAAGCTTCTGTAAAACTCTCCAGAATATCTCCAACTAGACACTTAGAAACAGCACTTAGAAGTTCTCTAATTACGAGGATCCATTTGAAAACCAGAGGCCGGAATTATATAGCCTAAGAACTGTACCTCTGTCTGATCAAACATGCATTTCTCAAGTTTGCAGTACAACCTATATCTGAGTAAAGTTTGCAACACTTCGGGAGAGATTGGGAGAATAAATGAGTATTTCATCGAAATAAACTAAAACAAAAGTATAGATATATTCTCTAAGTACATCATTTATGAGGTCTTGAAACACAGTCAGAGCATTGCATAGACCGAAGGGCATCACTAGATACTCGTAGTGTCCATTTCTTGTATTGAATGCGGTTTTCCACTCATGTCCTTCTTTTATTCTTACCAAATTATAAGTGCTCCTAAGGTCTAGTTTGGTAAAAACTTTGGCACCTTGGAGTCTGTCAAATAATTCAGAAATAAGAGGAATGGGGTATGCATTTTTAATGGTTATCTTGTTTAATGCCCTATAATCAATACATGGACATAGATCTCCTTCCTTCTTTGACACAAAGAATAACCCTGCTCCCACTGGAGAAGATCTACATATGTGACTTTTCTGTAAGGACTCTTATATGTAGTTGTGGCGAAAGTGACATCGCCACTGGTTTCTGGAGGGGGCCTGTTTTCCAGCATCCTGCCCTGTGACTATGGCACTGTGGTGAACTTTGGGCTAAAAACATGGTTCGTGCCTTCTTCCCTGCTATGGTACAGTATATGGGGCTTACCAAATGGATTAGGCTTATAGTGTTCGTTTACTGAACAAACTGTCGAACAGCCGGACCACCCCCAAGTGGAGTGTGCAGCCTGTTAACCTCCCAGAAGCTGTGGTTAACTGCAGCTTAATTTACGAACGGCTGGGTGGTCGCCGTTCGTATAGTCGAACACGTGGCGGCGGCCATCTTAAATTATCGAACGGCCAGTGGTGTTTTGTCATCGAGTGTATGGAACTGTTTTCGACTGCACAAACACCGCTGGGACTTCCAGACTTTCAGTAATTCATCTTTCCTCTATACGAAAGCAGCAGCGTTTGGTACATTGAATCATTTGAACAAGAGACACTGGGGAATCATAGACATGAACAGTTATTTCGTTATTTTGATGTGTTTTCATACTCTTGGAATAGCTCTGGGTGATTTTTAAGTATGTTGTTCCCCCAGATCGGGGCTATCAAGAAATGTATGTTTTATGGGATTCTCTTATGTTTTTGGGGTGTTTTCAAAAATGTGTAAAAACTTGTATTTTTCGTTTGGAGATAATTGGGTTGATACAGTAATTAGCTAAATTATCTCCCAAACAGAGGGGAGGGATTGTGTACACTGTATGGAAGTGTCTGAATGTAAAACTCTGTTTTTATTGGCTTGTTGATCTTGTGTCCCTGTGCCCAACAAGGTCCAGGTGGCGCCCATGTTGGGAAACTTGTATAAAAGGCCAGTGTGCCCCATTAAACCTAGAGTTCCTGTTTTACCCTCAACATAGAGTCTCATCTCATGTGTGGGGGAAAAGGCTGCATCTACCATGGGGATTGCTATATAACTATACTCCACATGGATTATAATCACTAAGCTCTTTTAAGAGCTGTTCCTGCTTGACTCTCTGGAGGAAGAGAGGTTCACCTACTGGAACCTGGAGCCTTGTCGTAAGTCCAGGGTGGGTAGGAGACGGCGAGTTCCCAGCTAAGCTGTAATGCTGGACATGGGGACTGCGGTGCTGATGGTGTCAGGTGGAGTGCTTTGAGTCCTCGGTGAGCACTAGGCACATCCGTTGGTGGAGGTATCCAACCAGGGTACAGGAAGCTCTGTTACAGTAGTCCTCCATGATTTTGCTTTCCTAGGGAGACAAGGTGTATACCCCTCCTTTAGGGGGCATTATACCGGGTAGCAACTCTATAGAGCAATCATACAATCTGTGAGGAGGTAATGCCTCAGTATGCACCTTATTAAATACTTCTATAATCTCTCTATATTGTATAGGAACCACATTAAGAGGATGAGTATCATTAGGCAGATTAACAGTATCTAATATCTTAGCTATGGGTGCCATACACTTCTCTTTACATTCCTTGCCCCATTCCAGAATTTCCTCCTTGACCCAATCAAAACGAGGATTCTGTTTCATAAGGCATGGGAAACCAAGGATAATAGGACAAGAAATTGGGAAGAAATAACCTGGAAGGTGGATACATTCTTTGTGCAAAGCCCCTATCATAATAGTGATAGGAAATGTTTCTTGAGTAATAAGAGGTTGAGAAAGTGGTCTACCCAGTTCAAAGTCGGTGACATTACCACTGATACTGATATATTGATATCTCGACTGGATAGCACATATCGACAGGATATATATACTCATGTTGGCTATACCAGCAGTGAGTATAGATTTGCTCTATGCATTGAAAACCAGCATAAGTTCTGTTTACAACCCCTTTACTCGTGCACTGCTCCTCACTACAGCTCCAGTAATCCCCCTGCAATTAATTTGCCCCCTTTCTCTCCCCCATCTACACAATACATGAGACTGTATGGCTTACTTTGTACAGTGTTGCTGTTTAGCATCCAAGAGTGAAAAAATTAGGAATCAGGGCAACACACAAAGCATATTTGCAGCCTGTAATATTCTTTGAATTACAGACAAATGCCAAAGTTTAGTTCACGTTTTAAAAAAAATATTTGGCCATTTATTCCCATTCGGTTTCACACAGCTACATTCTGCTAGAATTTTGGGGATCTGGATTCTCAAAAATAACATGTTTCTTACATATGTCCAATACCCAGTACCTATTTTTTTGGTATATGTATTTTTTTTTTTTTCAATTTGACAATTTTTATTGTTGATAAGAACAGGGGGGGGGGGTACAGAAGAGAAGAAGGAGGGCGGGGGGGTTTCCGTGTTACAGTATATGTCACTCGGTACAAGGCGACATAGCGTAGTAGCATAGTAGCTTGGTAAAACAGTAATGGTTTGGACAGTGGTATTAATAATATTGTTGTTAAGAAAAATAAGCCGCACAAAATTGCTTAGTGTAATTCTAGTCCATGCGCCTACCCATGGGCTTGGGTGATCTGTGTAGTTTGGAGTATACTTCCCCATGCGTAACCTAATCCGATGCTCTTTCGCTTTGCGAACACAGTGGGTCAATACAATGCATACATATTGCTATGGTACAGGAATGAGTCGCCTTACTCAGGGTTTGCCAATCTCCACGCGTCCCACACATCCCATGCTGTCGTCCCTGTACGGGTGGGTGGGCATATATTCGTGAAGCAACGCTCATAGTGCCTCTGCTCAGCTATTTCTGAGAGTACGTTTTGTATCTTAGGAGTGGTTGGAGATTTCCAGGCCCGCGCTATAAGGCGTTGAGCCGTTAGTGTTGTGTGGAAAATTAGTTTTTGGAGGTACTTAGGAGTGTGGGGGGGAGTGTGCAGTAGCAGGTACGTGAGCGGGTCTAGGGGCAGTGTAAGTTTCGTGAGGTCTTGTAGGAAGGAGTGCACTTCTTCCCAAAAGGGTTTGATCAGTGAGCACGTCCACCAGATGTGTAAAACTGATCCGGTGTGCCTCCGACATCTCCAGCAGGTGGATGAAGCGGCGGGGTACATTTTAGAAAGCCGCTCCGGGACCATGTACCATCTGTAAATCATTTTTTTGTTCTGCTCCAATAACGGTGCTGATTTAAGGAGGGTTTTGGGTGCGGTAGATAAAGTGTTCCACTCTTTGTGAGTGAGCTCAATGGTCAGATCTTCTGCCCATTGTCTAGCTGGCGTGGCCTCTGAGAGAGGGGTGAAGTCTAATAGCAATTGGTAACACGTGGAGATTGGCTTACAGAGTGGGGGTAGTTTTTTATTTATACACATTTTCTCCCATGTTGTAAGTTGGTCGGTGGCTATTTGGCTGGGCGGTACTTGTGTAGCTTGTTTGTGCAGGAAAGAATGAAGTTGTCTGTAGGAAAAATGAGATGTCAGGGGGACACCGTGGAGTGAGTGTAGGGTGTGAAAGTCTAGGAGCTTTGAGTTAGCGTGGAATTGGCCTAAGTATTGGAGCCCCTTCTCCTGCCACGGTTTAGCGTAGAAGGTGGGAATGCAGTATGTGAGAGCCGCTGTCGGTGTGGCTGGGGACAGAGGGCCGCTGGAGGTCAGTTTATGTCTATGTGCGTCCCAAACTCGTATGAGTAGGGCGAGTTGGGGAGGGATATCTTTTAGGGGGGGGCGAAGCTGTTGCGGGAGCCATAGTATGTGGGTGATGTCATACGGAGTCATCATGAGCTTCTCAAGCCTGACCCATTGCGGGGGGCTTTGGTCAACAAAATGGGGGATGGCTGCTGCTAATATGGATGCGTGGTAATAGGTACGCACGTCCGGGACTGCTAAGCCTCCTGCTCTAGCTGGAGCTCGTAGGAGCTTCATTGAGATGCGGGGTTTACCCTTGTTCCAGATGAAGTTGGTGATATCGCTCTGTATCGCTTTAAAATAGGATTGTGGCATTGGTAATGGGAGGTTCCTAAAAATGTATTGTAACCTGGGGAGTATGGACATCTTGATCGCCACTATTCTCTCAGTCCAAGTCAGGAAGAGGGATCCCCATTTTGTCAGGGATTGTTTACACTCTGTCCAGACCCTGATATAGTTGGTTGCGCTTAGGTCAGCGCGGCGTCTGGAGAACATAATACCTAGGTATTTGATGTTATCCCGCCTCCATTCGAAAGGGTATGTCCTGCGTAGTGTTTCCGTCACTTGGGGGGGTAGGCCAATTCCCAGGGCTTGGGTTTTTGTGGTGTTCAGTGCGTAGTAGGAGCATAGGCCATATTCCTTGATGATGTGCATAATTACAGGGATCGTGGTCATGGGATCGGTGACATAAAGGAGGATATCATCCGCGAAGGCGCTAACTTTGTAATCTGTTCCCTTAATTTGGATCCCTTTGATGTCAGGATGGTTTCGAATGGTTTGCAGGAGGGGTTCTAACGCTAACACGTACAGCAGGGGGGATAGGGGGCACCCCTGCCTCGTTCCATTGGACAACTGAAACGGGTCAGACATAAAGCCTGCCTGTAGTACCTGGGCTGTCGGACCCGCATACAGAGCAAAAATTTGTGACTCAAACTGGGGGGGGAACCCATAGGCTCTCAAGGCTTGTTGCAGGAAGGGCCAGCTTAGGCGGTCAAAAGCTTTTTCGGCGTCAAGTGCTAGTAATAGACCGCCTCCTCTGGTCCCCCTGAGGTAATCCAGGATCAGCGACAGTTTCCTGGTATTATCTGTTCCCTGTCTTCCTTGTATGAACCCTGTCTGGTCATCCCCAATAAGGGATGGCAGGACCCTATTTAGTCTATTTGTTAGGATCTTCGCATAGATCTTTGCATCTGAGTTTAGAAGCGATATAGGGCGGTAATTTTTACAGGTGTCCGGGGGTTTGTCGGGTTTCGGGATGGTTACTATGGTAGCCCGGAGCATCTCTGGTGGGAGCGCGCCCGTGGCAGTCGCCCTACGGTACACTTTTAGCAGGTGGGGGCCCAGGACGTGCGCAAATTTTTTGTAGTAGGCGTTTGGGAGCCCATCTGCTCCTGGTGACTTCCCTTGTGGCAATTTGGCGATCGTTTCAAGCACCTCTGTGAGCTCAATGGGCCTGATTAGTGCTTCTGCCTGTGCGCTCGTTAGTTGGGGGAGTTTGGCTTGGGATAAAAATTGGGTTATGTCGTCTAAGCTAGCGTTGTGAATGCTGCCCTCCTCTTTTAGGTTGTAAAGTTTAGAGTAGAAATGAGCGAATTCCTGGCTAATATCCATGGGGGTAACCTTCTTTAGTCCGTCGCCTCCCACCACATGGGCTATCTTGGAGCTAGAGCATTGATTTCGTAGCCTGGCGGCTAAGTATTTAGTGGCTTTCCCACTATTGTGGTATACATTGGCTCTCAGTTTGTGGAGCATGCGCTTGGTTTTTTCTGTATTCAGCTCTTGCATTCGTGCGTAAAGCACTCTGAGCTGTTTCGCTAGGTCAGGGGTGGGCTTAGATTTATTCTGCCTAGAGATTATAGCTATTTGCCTAAGGCAATCAAGGAGGCCGGACGTATTCTGCTTCTTTAGGAAGGCGGCTCGTCTCAAGAAAAGCCCCCGTACTACTGCTTTATGCGCCGACCAAACCGTGTAGTCTGAGACCTCACCTGTCGCGTTCAGCGCAAAGTATGCTTGGAGTTCTTCTCTTATGTGTTCCGCAAAGGGCGCATTGGACAACAGCGAATCGTTTAGACGCCAGGACCCCCGGCCCCGAAATTGGAAAGTGTCTAGTAAGTTTAGATAGACGGGACTGTGGTCTGACCAGGATATTTCCCCTATGGTGCACTGCGTGAGTTGCGGCAGTAGTGTCCTGTGTAGGAGAAAGGTGTCTATGCGCGTGTATGTATTGTGGACTCTGGAGTGAAAAGTGTAATCCCTGTCTGTCGGGTGCATGGTCCTCCAGGCGTCGTATAAGTCGTATTGGTCAAGGAGTTTGGAGAGTGCTTTACATGATGTGTCCAGTCTCCGTTTGTTTGCGCCCGTGGGGGTTGCAGTAGTGTCTAGCCCTAGCGATTGTATGCAGTTAAAGTCTCCGCAGAGTATCAGGTCCCCTAACCTATAATCTTCGATTTTGCGCAGGAGGGAAGACAGAAAGTGGCGTGGTCGGTCGTTGGGCAGGTACGCTGCCACCAGCGTCAGTTGTGTATCATTGAACCGACCCACCAGTATAACATATCTCCCCTCTGGGTCTATGTACTGTCGCTGTGGAGTGTAGGCTACATCTTTGTGGATAAAGATCGATACTCCCTTGGATTTTGTGGCAGAGAGAGAGTGCACTTGCATGGGGAATTGTCTAGTAAAGATAGCTGGGGGGTGGGTACGTTTGAAATGGGTCTCTTGTATGCAAGCTACGTCTATACCATTGGTTGTAAGGTCTTTAAGAAGGAGTCTGCGCTTGCCTGGGGAGTTCAAGCCATTCACATTATATGAGACTAGTTTCATACTTAATTATTTTGTGGGCAGGTACACTAGTGGTAGTAATTCCTATGCTTGCTACTAAAGCAGTGCTGGGCACAGTACGGTCGAATAGGCGTATTGGTGGAGGCTGCAATGTATAGTTTTCCTGGAGGGTGGGTTTCGAGGGGGACCCGTTGGTGGCCCCGAGTATGTCTGGGTGGGAGGGGATAAACAGGGGGGTAACTAGGGGGGGGAGACAAACACGTGGGCAACCAGCCCTATCTTGCTTCCAGCTAGGAAGCCAAAATGCCCCGAGGAGAGCTCGGGCGCATGTGGTTGGGGTCGTGGGGGTGAGCGTCCTCTTTGAGGTGGTGGCTCACTGTGGTGGCGGCAAGGAGCGTTGCCATGCTAAGGATGAAGGGTGAGTAGTAGGCATGAGGGGTTGTGCCTCCTTTAAAGCTTCGGGCAATGTGGGGGAGGAGGGTGAGCTCACAGTACTCCCCGAGTCTCCTCTGCACCGGCAGGAGGTTCAATACATGGAACACATGAAAGGGTGCTTCCCATGAACTGTGGGGGGGGGGGGGAGTGAGCGTCAGCACCCCCATGAAATCATAACCAAACATCTGAACAACATTCAACCAAAATATGCATTATAATACACTGAGGGGAGGCGGGTGACCACTTAAGAGGTCAAAGATTTTACCGCAGTCCTTGGAGATGGCATTCCCCTCGTGTATCAGTTCACAGTCCACTCCGGGGAAAGTCTTGGGACCTTGGAAGGGAGATGTCGGTGTACCTCAGGCATTTGGAGGCCCCAGGATTGTAGCTTGGCGATTCCTAGTTCCAGTGTCGGAATGGCGTGTAGGGCATCTCTGTAGTGAATCAGGAGCTTGGCGGGGTAACCCCATCGGTAAACGATGTTGTGGTCTCTCAGTGTGGTTGTCACTGGGGTTAGGTTCTTCCTGAATTGTAGCGTCGCTGCAGATAAGTCTGCAAAGAGTTTGATTCGGCTGTAGGGGTCTGGCAAGCCTGAGGCCCTGCTGGCTTTCATCAGCTGCTCTTTGGTATGGTAGAAGTGCACTCTGGCAATGACATCTCTCTCTGTGGTTGGAGGGAGGTGCTTTGGGCGTCTTAGCCTGTGTGCCCGATCCACTATAAGCTGATCCGGGTGTATTGTGGGAGTGAGGGCTTGGAACAAATTCGTCAGGTAGTTTTCTAATTCTTTTGGGGCAACTGTCTCTGGAATACCCCTTATACGTATATTGTTTCTCCTGGATCTGTCTTCTAGGTCTGCTAGTTTAAGTTGGTAGCTAGTGAGGGAGTTCTCAAAGCCCTGCACCCTGTCAGCTAGGCTGTTATGGGCCTCTGCAAATTCATCCATCTTATGTTCTAAGTGGGAGGTGCGCTGGCCTACCTCAGTGATATCCTTGTGGAGGTCTGCTGCCAAGGTTTGCAATTGGGTTTTCATGTTATTCTGCAGCTTGTCTGAGAGCTCTGCAAACATAAGCCGCATGGTGCCGACCGTGAGGGGTCCGTCGTCAGCCGCTGAGGATGGTGAGGCTGGTGGTGACATTGAGCCGTCTCGTGAGTCTCGCGCGGCGCCATCTTTGATCAGGCCGCGTCCGTCCCGCGCTTTTGTCTCGGCGGTTCTCGCCAGAAAGAAGGACTCCCGGTCCGATTTGGCGGCCTTGCCCTTTTGCCTCTGTGACATGGTGGAGCGAGGAGTGAGGTTTAGTGCTCGTTAGTTCGATTATTTTGCTCCAAAGTGCCGAAACCCGCGGGAGCTTCAGAAGTGTGCGTCCATTCAGCTCCGGTACCAGGCCACGCCCCCCGGTATATGTATTTTATTTTACACTTACTTTATTTGATACATTTCTATTTGTTTTCATTTATTAAAATAAACCTGCTGGTGAAGGGGTTACATCTGTTATTTGCACTCTATTTTACTGTTTAAATGCCTGCTGCCATAGCTTCCCCAGCCAGCCCTGTATGTAATTCCCCTCAGTAACCTTGCTCTGATCATTGATATCTGTGTAATCATCAGTGAGACTCATGCGGAAGGATGACTATTGAATTCTGGTCACTCTTTGGTTTTTCTTCTGTAAATCTCTTCCTGTTCTTTTTGTAGTATGCAGTATGAGCAGGGTTTCTTTATCCATTATTTTAGACTCAGCAGTGGTGTACAATGATTAAGAATTGTACTCAACCCACCACCTGCTGTCTGTTTGATGAACCCCTGCTGTCTTACCTGCTCCCACCTGTCCTGATTACAGTGTTAAGCCTGGGGTTCACCTTCAATGGCATTGCCTTGTGGGTATTCAGCTGTCATATGAAGACCTGGACTTCCAGCACTGTCTACCTCGTCAATCTGGCAGTGGCTGACTCCCTGCTTCTCATCTGCCTGCCTTTCAGGACTGACTACTACATAAGAGGGAAAAATTGGATCTTTGGAGACATCCCATGCAGCTTGGTGCTCTTCATGCTTGCCATGAGCAGGGCTGGGAGTATCTTTTTTCTTACCTTGGTGGCCTTAGATCGCTATTTCCGAGTGGTCTATCCTCATCATAGAATCAATGCCATATCCGTCAAGACTGCAACTTGCATTGTCTATGCAGTATGGTTTGGCACCATATCCCTCACAGTTTTCATCCTCACCAATAGTCATCAGACAAGCATGAATGGGTCCAACAATACCTACTGTGACAGCTTCACCGTGTATCCTACTAGTATCAACTACCATGACCTGTTCTTCATCTTGGGGTTTTTCCTGCCCCTGCTCCTAATTCTGTACTGCTCTTACATGGTAGTGTGGAGGCTGAGGAAGAGAAACCTGGACAGGCACTCCAAGATTAAGAGAGCTGTACAATGCATTGTGTTGGTGGGAATTGTCTTTACTGTATGCTTCTTACCTAGTGTGTCCACCAGGATTAAGGTTCTACTGCTTCTGACATCTCCTCAAGGCAGCAACTGCTCAATCTACCAGTCAGTGGACACAACTTTCTACATCACCATCACCTTCACCTACATGAACAGCGTGTGTAACCCCCTGGTCTACTACTTCTCCAGCCCAGCGTTCAAGGCATTCTATTTGAAGATCATGAGATGTCCACAACATTCCGAATCAGAATCTGAGAAGGACCACACGAATGATGCACCTATCACCATTCCAAACAGCAGCAGCCAGGTGGGAGACTGCATTGACTAATTCATTTAATTGTGTCAAGAAGCAGCATTAAAAAAACAATTATTTTACATGTCCTGGCAGGGAAAGTCATCCTTCAGCTATCAAGCCATTGTTTGCCATTTCTATGACCATCCATCCATGGAGCAATTTAGCAAAATTATCTAAATTTAAGAGCGTTGGGACCTCTCATTAAAGGATGGTGATGCTTTGCAAGGAACCAATACTAGGGCATCCACAGCTGAACTGGGTAAATATTTATTCAATGCCCTGAAAAGAACAAACACCACTCCATGTACTTAACTCTGTCAGAACCCGCAGCTATAGTGGCTCAGCTAGGCTCTTCTTTTCTATATGTTGATGTTTTGTGGTTTTGCTTTGAAATACATATTTATGATAATTAAAACCTTTGAAATTGTATTTTTCAGCCCAGCATAACATACAAAAATGATGAAAAAAAGTGTTTGATTGCATAAATTATATTTTATATATTGCAGATTTAAAAGCATTTCAAATAAATAATTCACTATTTATCTTCACTGTGGTTTTTTCACTAAGAATGAATAACAGTGAATTGAAAACCGATTTGCAAAATTTAGAGCATTATTCATGCAAGTGAGAATTCAAAGGGAATTTCAGATTTAAGATAAAAACTGAACTGGCAAACATTTTCTAAGCCAGCTATACTTTAACTTTGACTACTCTTCTAAATTTAAAATTCACTTTGAATTCTCACTTTAGTAAATAACGTTAGGGCTTCTAACCCTTAAAATTATCATCTATGATACTTTTTTTATTTTATGAAAACCCTACAGCAAGATAACTAATTGCACAATGCTTTGCTTCTTTACATGCTTTTTATAAAATTAAACTTTTTACATTCTGCTTGCTACCAGAGACATTTGATTCCATATTTTCTTCTGTAACCGAAAATTAATCACTATAAGTGGAGTGAGAGTGAGATGGAGCTTACATTGGAGCTTACAACACCACCTAAGAAAGTATAAAAAACAATGATATAAATATAAAATATAGGAGGTAGGAGGTAGATACAACCTGATATACTCAGTCTGGTGCAGTACCTCACAGTGCCACTACCTGTCTGTGGTGCTATTCTAGGCTGCTGCACCCAGACTGAGATCACCTTCTGTTTCTGGCTGGCCTTACTTTCTACTTAACTTCTCGCTATTTAGTTAAGCCTCACCCCTTCTTGTTTGCCAGTTCATTAATGTTTGTTGGTTGTCTGGTCCTTTTATTGGTAGATGAGCCCCTAATACAGGATCCTGTAACAATATTGACCAATGATTTTGTAATCCTTTTTTGATCTTTCTGTGGTCCACATTATATTGGGTCATGAATGCGGACTTGAAGGGGTTAACAGACATATTGGACTTAGGTTTATCCATTAACAGCGTGTTTCTCTCAATTCTCTGAAAAGAAATTAAAATATACACTGGCACCATGGTAGAAAATATGATAAGTGCTAAAAGGCAACTATACATTGATTTGTAAGCAGACAGCAAACACTGGTAGTAAGGGATACCCTCAGCCCCTTACTGATTAATATATAGCAGGGGTTCCCAATTAATTTTTCCCGTGGAACCCTTTGACATAGTGTATCAACATCGTGGGACCCCCTCCCACCGGTAAAAAAAAAAATACAAATAATTTTGCATAAACCTTTTTTTGTATGTGCCGGTGTTTGTATCTGTATGTCAATGTGTATCTGTGTGTGTGTATGTATCTGTCACACAGATACACAGACACACACTGGCACATAATGGCACACATATACACACACCTTGACACACACTGTGTATCTGTGTGTGTGTGTGTGTGTGTATCTGTGTGTCAAAGTGTGTGTATCTGTGTTTGTGTGTGCCAGTGTGTCTGTGTATCAAGGTGTGTGTATCTGTGTTTGTATGTGCCATTGTGTGTATCTGTGTGTCAGTGTGTATGAATCTGACACACAAATACACACACTGGCACATAGTGGCACACAGATACACACACCTTGACACACAGAAACACACACCTTGACACACAGTGTGTATCTGTGTGTGTGTGTGTATCTGTGTGTCAAAGTGTGTGTATCTGTGTTTGTATGTGCCGGTGTGTGTCAAGGTGTGTGTATCTGTGGTTGTATGTGCCAGTGTGTGCATCTGTGTGTCAGTGTGTGTATCTGACATGCAGATACACACACACACTGGCACACAGATACACACACCTTGACATACAGTGTGTATCTGTGTGTGTGTATGTATCTGTGTGTCAACGTGTGTGTATCTATGTGTCAAAATGTTTGTATCTGTGTTTGTATGTGCTGGTGTGTGGCAATGTGTGTGTATCTGCGTTTGTACATGTCAGTGTGTGTGTCTGTGTGTCAGTGTGTATCTGTGTGTATGTATCTGACACACAGATACACACACTGGTACATAGTGGCACAGAGATACCCACACTGACACACACACCTTGACATACAGATACACACACTCAGATACACATACACACACTCAGATGCACACAGTGACACATACACACATCTTGACTCACAAATACACACACACACAGATACACACAGTGACATATACACACACTTGCACCCACCGATACACACACTTGCAAATACACACACACTCAGATACACACACTGACACAATCTCAGATACACATACAAAGGAACAAACAAACACACTGATATACACTGGCACATACACTCACCTTGACACACAGACACACACACACACACTGGCACACACACTGGCACACACACTGGCACACACACACACACAATATGACATACATCAGATTTAACCTCCTGTTGACTTACCTTGTGTGTCCAGGAGGGTGGCTTGCTTGTGGTCCTGTTGATGTTGGTTGAGGCTGATGGGAGTGAGCTGCTGCATGCTCACTCCAGCCTCTCCTCTACCATCTCAATCTCTTTGGTGGCCGTCTCCTGCCTCCTCCCTCCTCCCTACCGCTTTGCAGCAACTCTGTGAAGCTGGGAGGAAGTGCTATCACGTCCTCCCAGCCGGCCGATACTACAGATGTCCGGTCATGCTCGTAAAGGGCCGCGGCACACGAGCGGGACCCTGATTTGCGATAAAATTGCGGCAGCAATTTTGTTTGTTGAAATCACAGCGGAACCCCATTTGTGTTCTAGGGGAAACCTCAGGGTTCTGCGGAACACCAATTGGGAAACGCTGATATAGAGCAAGATAATACAATATATTTATACAAGTTGCACACAAAAAAGTCTGATAGATTATCAGATGCTTGGAGTATTCTTTACCTGTAAATTGTCCAGGCTTCTGATGGTGGCAGGTATAGGAAATAAAGAAGAAAGATAGCCGGTAATTGTGCAGAGTATATAGAACCAAGTGCAGAACAAACATCAAAGAGGTCTATGGTGTATCACTCACATTTAGTAGAGCTATAAAAACAGCTCTGAGTATAAATTTTACACTTGACAAAGTCCTTAGTAGACGAAACACATTGTGTTATTTTATATTGTTATTTTATACTAGTTATTTTTAAGCATTAAAGATATCTGGCATTCACTTAATTTATGTGTCTGACCATTTATTATATTTTTATGCTTTTAATTTTTTTCTTTTGTTTGTTTTAGTATATCTTTTTATATATTTTACTGTTCCTGGCACATCTATACCACCATTGCCTACCTGCTACCTGTATTCTGGGAATAACTACCCTTTAGAGGAGCTACTCTACATTATATCCCTGGTGGGGATCAAGGATGGTACCATCCAAGCATTAATACCAGAGCAAGTGCATATTGCTTCATCAAATGTCAATAGATAATTTTTACCTTTATAATTACTAGTGTACAGCTTTACGGAGATAACTATTTTTTTGCCTTTTATATCATCTACATGCCAAGTGACTGACTCCTAGAACAACATATCCGTCAGCGGGGATTGTACCGCTGCCTGCTGTTATACTCAGAGCTGGTTTTATAGCTCTACTAAATGTGAGTGCTACATCATAGACCTCTTTGATGTTTGTTCTGCACTTGGTACTAGATACTCTACACCATTACCTGCTATCTTTCTTCTTTATTTCATATACCTGCCACTATCAGAAGCCTGGACGATTTACAAGTAAAGAATACTCCAAGCATCTGATAATCTATTGGACTTTTTATTTTGGTGCAACCTGTACATATATTTTGAGTTATATTAATGGCACCATAACCATAACTGTGCACTGTAGTGGTTATGGTGCTTGGAGTGTTCCTTTAAAATACACACTAGTTTTGATGTTCAGGGTGTCCTTTAAATTTTAAAAGACTAATTTTAAACTGAAAATTTAGACATTTGTTATTGGTCCTAAATGTAGTGAAAGAGATAAAAGAAAAGATAAACGAAAGCTCTGGTTCTTTAGCAATATATTTGTTTGCTCATGTTGGCCATACCAACAGTATGAGCTCTGTGCATTGCAAAACAGCAAAAGCTCTGTTTGCACCCCCTTTACTCCTGCACTGATCCTCACTACAGCTAAAATCATCTGTTATTCTTGCAAATTCTTTTATTTACAGAATTTAAATGTATAGCAATATTTATTCTTAGAACATTTATCATAAAATAATAAGGGAAAACCTATCAAAGGGAAGGAAAGGGGAAGGGACAAAAAATGTAGAAAATGTAAAAGTAAAAGAACAATTTGTATATAACCATGACTATTATTAACTGTCTAAAACTACGATTAAAAATAGATACAGTGACCCACATGCATACATTTGAACTTATTTACAATGATTTGAAAAGCAGGGTAAAATTCAAAGTAACCAACATCATAATATAGATATTACCTGCTAAACCTCTTTATTGATTGAGTCCAATTATCCCATGTTTGGCATGGCTGACAATATACAGGGGATGACTGCCTAAACACCAATTTGTATCCCTCTGTAATTCGAATGCCCCATTTTTGGCCTCCATCTACACAACAGTAGACTGTATGGTTAAGTTTGTACTGTGTTGCTATATAGCACCCAAGAGAAGAAATAAGTGATCAGGGGCATCCAAAGAGGCATATTTGAAACCTTCAATATTCTTTGAATTACAGACAGATTCCTAAACTGTATAAGTTGTTTCAATATTTGGCCATTATTCTTACACCTAGTTACATTCTGCTAGAATTTGGAGAATCTGGTTTCTCATTCCTTATATATGTCCAATACCTAGTACTTGGGTTTTTGTGTATTTACACTTACTGTATTTGATATATTTCAATTTGTTTCCAAGATAACCTTGTTAGTGATGGGGTTAAATTAAATCTTTTCACTGTGTTTTCTTGTGTTTGCCTGCTGCTATAGCTTCCCCAGCTAGCCCTGTGAGCAGATCTCCTCAGTAACCTGGCTGTGATCATTGAAATCTGTGTAATCAGGAGTGAGATCGGTGCGGAAGGATGACAGATAATTCTGATCACTCTTTGGTTTTTCTACTGTATATCTCTTCCAGTTCTTTCTGCAGACTGCAGTCTGAGCAGGGTTTCTCTAGCCATTATTCTAGACTCAGCAGAGGTGTACAATGATTGGGAATGGTACTCACCCCATCACCTGCTGTCTATTTGATGATCCCCTTCTGTCCTACCTGCTGCCTCCTGTCCTGATTACAGTGTTCATCCTGGGGTTCACCTTCAATGGCATTGCCTTGTGGGTATTCAGCTGTCACATGAAGACCTGGACCTCTAGCACTGTCTATCTCGTCAATCTGGCAGTGGCTGACTCCCTGCTACTCATCTGCCTGCCCTTCAGGACTGACTACTACCTGAGAGAGAAGAACTGGATCTTTGGAGAAATCTCATGCCGCTTACTGCTCTTCATGCTTGCCATGAATAGGGCTGGGAGCATCTTTTTTCTCACCTTGGTGGCCTTAGATCGCTATTTCCGAGTGGTCTATCCTCATCACAGAATCAATGCCATATCCATCAAGACTGCAACTTGCATTATCTGTGCAGTATGGCTTGGCACCATCTCCCTCACAGTCTTCATCCTCACCAATGGTCGTCAGAGAAGCAAGAATGGATCCAACAATACCTACTACTGTGACAGCTTCACCGTGTGTCCTACTAACATCAACTACCATGACCTGCTCTTCATCTTGGTGTTTTTCCTGCCCCAGGTCCTCGTTCTTTACTGCTCTTACATGATAGTTTGGAGGCTGAGGAAAAGGAACCTGGACAGACACTCCAAGATTAAGAGAGCTGTACAATGCATTGTGTTGGTGGGAATTGTCTTCACTGTGTGCTTCTTACCCAGTGTGTCCACCAGGATTGAGATTCTACGGCTACTGACAACTCCTCAAGGCAGCAAGTGCTCTAGTTACCAGTCAGTGGACAGAGCTTTCTACATCACCATTACCTTTACCTACATGAACAGCGTGTGTAACCCCCTGGTCTACTACTTCTCCAGCCCAGCGTTTCAGGCATTCTATTTGAAGATCATGAAATGTCCACAACATTCCGAATCAGAATCTGAGATGGATCAACCGAACGATGCTCCCATCACCATTCCAAACAGCAGCAGCCAGCTGGCAGACCGCATTGACTAATTTATTGAACTGTGTCAAGAAGCAGCGTTAGAAAACCATTTATTGTCTTGTCCTGGCAGGGGAAGTCATCCTTCAGCTATCAAGCCATTGTTTGCTATCTCTATGACAATCCATCCATATAGCAATTTAGCAAAATGATCTAAATTTAAGAGTTGAGAGTGAGACCTCTCATTAAAGGGTGGTGAAGCTCTGCAAGAAACCAGTACTAGGGCATCCACAGCTGAACTAGGTAAATATTTATTCAATGCCCTGAATGGAACAAACACCACTCTATGTACTTAACTCTGTCAGAACTCGCAGCTATAGTAGTTCAGTAGTTTGTGGCAGCAGACTTTAGAAAATGCTTTTTGCAACTTTACTTTTGTATTGAAACTAAACTCTTCTTTTCCAAATGTTTTGGGTCGGTTTTTTTTGTTTTTTTTGCTTTGAAAATCATTTATTATCTTTAAAACCTTTGAAATATTATTTTTCTGCACAGGGTAATATATTAAAATGATGAATACATTATTAACTTTAATGTTTTATCTTATATAAATACTACAGCAGACACCTAGATATATATTGTTTAATATGTTGCATGTTTACATGCCCTTTATAGAAATAATTCACAATTTACATTAACTGTGATTTATTCACTAAGAATGAATAATGGTACATTGAAAAAAGAATTGCAAAATTTGCAGGTTATTCATTTAAAGGGAATTGTAAATTTCAAATAAAAATAGCTGAAGTGGAAAAAATCTCTTAAAATTCTCACTTTAGTAACTAGCCCATGAGTCCAAATTATTCAATAAAATTCGCAATTGACTACAATTTGCTGTTAGGGTATAAACCTGCCCCACCCCCACCATTCTAATATAATTTCAAACCTTAAAATGATAATATCTGATACTTTATTTTCTGAAATCCCTAAAGTGAGAGAACTAACTGCACTATGATTTGCTTATCTACATGTTTTTTTTATAGAATTAAGTCTGTTACATTTTGCTTGTACCTGAGATATTGCGGTCCACATTCTCTGGCTTAATCCCTTGTTCCAGATCCCACAACAGTCCAATATGTTTTAGTTGGTCCCCACTGGAACAGGATCAAGGTATCATTTGTTTTAATACCGCCTGAAAAACGGGTTACTGAGTTACTTGTCCAATGCTATGTATATTGTTTTTGTCCCTATTAAAAAAGATAACTATACTGCTCTATATAATGCAATATTTATATAAAATACAATGAGCACAGCTACGACTTTTTCTGTTATATATATTGCTGCTTAGGCAAGGCTGATTGGTGTTCAAGCAGGGTCGGATTAACATAGGGGGCAAAATAAGATGTAATCCATGGAAAAGGTCCATTGTTATCCGCTACTGGATTTTTTGCTTTACTTTGCTTTATGTGCTCATGTTTTGTGTAGAGGCAATGACATATGGGAACTTAGGAGGGATGAAGGGGAACAAAACATGTGTGGACTGACTGACTATATAATTAAAGCGACTCTCCAGTGCCAGGAAAACATATCCGTTTTCCTGGCACTGCAGGACCCTGCAGTGCCCCTCTCCCTCCCACCCACCATCCCATGTCGCTGAAGGGATTAAAACCCCTTTAGTGACTTACCTGAACCCAGTGCCGATGTCCCTCGGCACTGGGTCAGGCTCCACCCATGCGGCAATAGACCTCCCCATAGGAAAGCATTATTCAATGCTTTCGTATGTGGATTCCGGCGATGCTGGAGGTCCTCATGCATAGCGTGAGAACGTCCAGCGTCGTTTAAAACACTTTTCGTGTTCTAAGAATTCTTCGACGCTATATGTAATAGCTATGTGTGGGAATGTACACTCACAACTTGTCAGTAGAATGTAAACATTATGTTCATGTATTTTGAAAAATGTAATCAGAATTTCAGCTTTACATTGTATTATGGATTTATAAAAAGTTGTACATTCTGTTGGCAGTATGTGGCATTCATTTGCTCCACTTGCGCAATCCAGTATCTAATTGGAGCTGGGATACCAAAAGAACCACTGTGATTACAAATACCAGAATGTTTTTAATTATTTTTTATAGTTTCTTTTTTAGTAACCTTTTAACCCGATCTCATAAAGTTAATATTTTATACAATTATCCTCTTTGTATACATGCCTGCGTTTTATACATTTTTTTCTGCCTATTCGAATGTTTATATAACACATATAACACACTTTATGGTGTATCATTATTAGGCAGTGAATGTGCCAGTGACCACCAGATTTTACATATGTAGCTATAATTTCTATGTATTTGCTTTAAGTTGCTTTCCTATGAATGCGTGCATCCTCTCAGCATGCCATGTTGTGAAGATGGATAAATCAAGAAAACATGAGAGAAAAGAGATGGTGGAGGACAAAATAATGCATTGAGGTATTACTTTAAAAATAAAATAATAAATAAAATACTGTATAAATTCAAATTATAACGCGTTTCGCCTAATAGGCTTTTTTAAGTTTGTCACTTTACAATTTATAAAAGTGTTGATTTCAATTGAAATCAGTCAGACAGACAGGGTGGTTTTCTTCCACTTTCGTTAGCTCCACAAAGCTAACAGAAATGGCAAGTGCACTGGTCTAGTGTTTGCATCTCTTCCCCCTTGTCACTGAGCTGTACTAAAGCTCATTGAGAATCATTAGAAAACCATGATTGTGTGTACATGTGTGCATGCTTGAGGCTACATCACAGAGGCTTCTCAAATTCCTGAAATTGTGTAACAGGAAAATAGGAAGGGTTTGCAAAGAACGCAGATAATATGTGCGCAGCTTTTACAAGGTGTTTTCATAGATCCCAAAGATAACATGCAGGGAAAAATATATGCTTTTTTTCTTTGTGGGTATATCTATTAAGCAGTTAAAAAGTAAAAACAAAATCAATGGGATGCTTTTTTACACTGAACAAATTTATAAACACAACACTTTTGTTTTTGCCTTAATTTTTCATGAGCTGAACTCAAAGATCCAAGACTTTTTCTAAGTATACAAAAGACCTATTTCTCTTAAATATTGTTCACAAATCTGTGAACTCAAAGATCTAAGACTTTTTCTATGTACACAAAAGGCCAATTTCTCTCAAATATTGTTCACAAATCTGTCTAAATCTGTGTTAGTGAGCACTTCTCCTTTGCCGAGATAATCCATCCACCTCACAGGTGTGGCATATCAAGATGCTGATTAGACAGCATGATTATTGCACAGGTATGCCTTAGGCTTGCCACAAAGGTCACTCTAAAATGAGTAGTTTTATCACACAGCACAATGCCACAGATGTCACAAGTTTTGAGGGAGCGTGCAATTGGCATGCTGACTGCAGGAATGTCCACCAGAGCTGTTGCCCGTGAATTGAATGTTCATTTCTCTACCATAAGCCGTCTCCAAAGGTGTTTCAGAGAATTTGGCAGTACATCCAACCGGCCTCAGAACCGCAGACCACGTGTAACCACACCAGCCCAGGACCTCCACATCCAGCACCTTCACCTCCAAAATTGTCAGCCACCCGTACAGCTGCTGCAACAATCGGTTTGCATAACAAATGAGTTTCTGCACAAACTGTCAGAAACTGTCTAAGGGAAGTTCATTTGTATGCTCGTCGTCCTCATCGGGATCTCAACCTGGCTGCAGTTCGTCGTTGTAACTGACTTGAGTGGGCAAATGTTCACATTCGGTGGCGTCTGGCACTTTGGAGAGGTGTTCTCTTCACGGATGAATCACTCTACAGGGCAGTTAGCGTGTATGGGGTCGTGTTGGTGAGAGGTTTGCTGATGTCAATGTTGTGGATCGAGTGGCCCATGGTGGCAGTGGGGTTATGGTATGGGCAGGCGTATGTTATGGACAATGAACACAGGTGCATTTTATTGATGGCATTTTGAATGCATAGAGATACTGTGATGAGATCCTGAGGCCCATTGTTGTGCCATTCATCCACGACCATCACCTCATGTTGCAGCATGATAATGCGCGGCCCATGTTGCAAGGATCTGTGCACAATTCCTGAAAGATGAAAACATTCCAGTTCTTGCATGGCCAGCATACTCACCGGACATGTCACCTATTGAGCATGTTTGGGATGCAGTAAACGACAGCATGTTCCAGGTCCTGCCAATATCCAGCAACTTCGAACAGCCATTGAAGAGGAGTGGACCAACATTCCACAGGCCACAATCAACAACCTGATCAATGCTATGCGAAGGAGATTTGTTGCACTGCGTGAGGCAAATGGTGATCACACCAGATACTGACTGGTTTTCGGTTACCCCGGTCCCCCCCAATACAGTAAAACTGCAAATTTTAGAATGGCCTTTTATTGTGGCCAGCCTAAGGCACACCTATGCAATAATCATGCTGTCTAATCAGCATCTTGATATGCCACACCTGTGAGGTGGATGGATTATCTCGGCAAATGAGAAGTGCTCACTAACAAAGATTTAGACAGAGTTGTGAACAATATTTGAGAGAAATATGCCTTTTGTGTACATAGAAAAAGTCTTAAATCTTTGAGTTCAGCTCATGAAAAATGGGGGCAAAAGCAAATAAAAACAAAGAAGAAAAGGGCTGCGCCAAATCTAATATTGGGAGATAGAAACAGTTATCACAGATTGAAAAGTCAAAGTTTGCTATAAATATTATTAGAAAAGTCCAAAAGAAAGGATCTCACTCAGATCCAATAGTGGGTGGCGTGCTTGGTTGTGAATAATATCCTCAGAGTCTTTGCCTAGGTATGTCCACTTTCATGAAAGACAAAAAAATAGAGGGATCCAATAGTGCAATATTTACAGTCCAATATATAAACTATATGGAAGAGGATGGTAATACACTCACATTTGTAGGAGCTTATAGTTAGCTCTAGCGTGAAGGGCGTAAAGTGGTATAATTCCTGCTTATGAGCTATATAGTAGATGTCGTCAATGGTATGTCCAGCACTCGAGGAAGGAATAAAAAGTAGGTAAAAAAGCCAGAAAAAAGATAAAATAGTAAAAGTATATT